TATAATTTTGTATGTCCGGCAACTTTAAATAGCGTTCTAAAAATGAGAAATGGAAGAGTGGCACATTATACCAGAAAAATATCCAAGGCCGATGTTATCAATAAATGTATTCAACAATTTCATTAGACGCCATCAATATCAAGAAATAATTCCAGAATGAGAACTAGTAGCTGTTAGTACATTAGATAACTCCAACACAACACTATTAGTCCAGGAACAAAGTTACATCTGTAAGTTATTTGTACTGCAATTATGCAAATATCAAAAACCCTGCAGATACAAAAAAAACTCAAAGTACAAGTTCTAAAATTACACTAATCACAGATGATGTACTTGTCTATACCTATCTGTTCCAAAAAAGAATCTTATTTGCGCTCCATTGCACTGTGTAAAATTTATTTTTTTCAATAACAAATCATGTCGCACCGAAATAAAATTATTTATTAGACTAAATTCATTTAGATCGTTTTTATTTTTCTTAATAAAAAATGTATATACTTAAGTCACAAAGAACATGTTTAATTTAAATACATAAATAGTCCAAGTAAAAAAATAAGGACTAAATTAATATTTAAATAAAAAATTCATTTTCAATGAAGGTTTATATACAGCTCAAATGCAATAACTAATTCCAACTGTATGATATTATACGCAGAGATTTTTGCTGGATACAGAAAATCTAATTTTATTGGATTTTTAAAATTTTTATGTGGAAAATCAAAAGTAACGCAGCAAAAATCTCTAGCAATCAACTTGACCGTCCTACAAAATTATTTTGATAATCTAACAAATTTATTCTTAGGTCTGTATCTAGCTCAATTTCTAAATCTTTCAGTAAAATCGTTCTCTCCGTGTACATATTAAAAATAAACAAAATAAACAATAATTTTAAATTTATAATAAAACAAAAATCTTAAAATATAATAACAAAATATAAATTAATAATTAAACATGTAGTATATTACCGTAATCTTTCAATTATGTCGCGTTATATTACGAACAACCAAAGCTTATTATAAATTGTCGAACTAATTCAAATCAATTTCTTTATTAAAATAAACAATATCAAATTTCCATTGGATTGTGAATTTTCAAAACATTAACGATTTTACGAAATTATGTTTATTTATTACTACTGACTCTTATGACCGCTATGATTCTATAATTTCTTAAACTAATATTTTCTTACTATATTTGAAAAAGCAGCGACAAAATGTGCCATACCGTTATTCATATATAGGTCACATACGACGGCAAATACGTGTCTGCGACGGTGATGTAACAAAGAAATTAAATTCAGCAATCAAGCTAAACTTTTGCAACGTAATTAGTAAGTAAATGACACAAATACTTGACATGTAAGCACACACACGACATAATATCTTCATTATTCTAATTTAAATGACTACGGAGCGAACAAAGTTGTTTAAATAAGTAAAACATGTAATAATTTTATAAAATAGTAAATATAATACAATAATGCATGATAACTCGCAGAATTATCATTAACTCATGACTAAATATATAAAAGAAAAAAAAATATTATGAATTATAATTTTAAATAAGGTTCAAAATGAATAGAATTCAACTAGATAAATAAAAGTTAAAGAAGCCAGACTGGAACTGTTATGTTGACAATAGATAAAACATTTTCTTTAAATATTCCAAATTCGATCATTTCACTATAATCTTTTTCAGTGGTGTATGTAACTTTACAATTTCAATAGATGGCAGTAACAGTTAATATGTGTTGTGTGTGTATGTTGTATGTGTTTGATCCCATTATATTTATATACCAAACTGATGAGTATCGACAATAATTCTTCGTTAAGAATATAGACATCATATGTTCTTCCTAATACGATCGTTGATTTGAAATTATTAGTACATTTTCTGTTTCGCAACTAATGAACGATATCTGATTAATATGTTTGTTAACTATCACTATTTATTTAATAATATTTAATCTACAATGTAAATAATATTTAAATCTACAATACACATCTTACGTTTGTCTTATGGAAACCAACGTTTTGACAATATTATAACCGCTTCTAGTTGTAAAAATAAAATGGCAAATTGTAATGTTATAAAAAATGAACAGCGCGACATACAATGTATTTTTAAAATATAGAGAGAGTTAATGCACAGTTACCAAATAATAAATTATTTAAATTTTATTCAAAATTAGCAACTATGTACAATTAGTAGCAACTACAGCTTACTAATTAATTAACCAGTTTATTAATATTAATGAGTTAAGACATTTGCCAATTTTGTCCAAAAATGATACGTATAAAATTAACATAATATATTTTAATGCAGTATTTATAACAAATTATTGCAAGTAAACCTGTCATATACTATCACTCAAAAGTTTGGAATATTTCATTAGTTTTAGATAAATCACAATCCTTTACCAACTATTGTATTTAAAAAATAAAATTTATTTTAATTTTTAAACGTATATTATTACAATAATTTAGGATAGAGATAATATAAGTTTTTGTATATTTACAATGAATAATTACAGTGAATAAATAAGTTAAATTTTCTTTCAAAGTTTAGAAAAAATGCATCAAATTTCTCAACAATAACATATATATTATAGATTATTATAACTACAATAAATTAGCAACCATCCCCTTAAAATGTTATTTCAAATAGAGCTAATATCAACATTCCTCAGATTTAACATTAAATTTATGATTATAATATAACTATTTGTAAATCATTACGCGTAGTAAAATTTAATAACCTTGTGTTCCAGTTCTACTTTAACATTATGGCAGACGGACCAAATGGGGATTCTTGCACAACTGACCCTGGACATCTTTCTTATGAGACAACACCTTTGGCCACACCGATCCTCTCAGAAATCGCAGAAGGTATGTGTATACAATGTTTATTAATTAATTCACCAAACATATATTTGATGCGTGTGTTATGTGATAATAGCTCTACAAAATGGAATGCAACCCCTATTCCACGACGTAAAAGTCGACATAGCTAGTTGTCCTTATCTGACTGCAGCACCATATAATCTCGCCGGAGTAGGTAAGAAATCACAACACAGCGGCTAATTTTTCATTAAATAGAGTATCTTAAAAAAATTAATAATTCATACAGGACTAGGTGGCAACACGTCGATAGTAGAAATCCTTCCTCACGGTGGAAATGTATCGTGGTATCGTAATAAACGGGATATTCAAGAAATACTCACAACCAGCTGCCATGATTCCTTTGCCATTGGATCTTCTTATGCTACAAAACCAGGCATGCCTTATTACGGACATGTATGAATTATCAATATTTTCACATTTTTATACCTATGTTAATAATACTACTATGACAATAAAAAATTGATAATAACTGTTACATAACTGATGAAGTAACGATAGACAGCAAACTGCAATAATCTAAAAATCATATCATCAAATCATCCTTACCTTACTGTTGTTTTGTAATTATATTCTATTGATTTAATACTATTCAACTTATTCTATTGAGTTTAAATTATTCTTTTATTATACACACGACTCCTATGACATTATTATTTCCCATAAACCTGATAATTGTTGCAGCTCATCGTGAATGCAACGTACAGAGCACCTATGGATCTTAGGAACGAGAGTCGCCTTGTTTTCGCAGAGAGGCCTAACGGACAAACAACAATAGAAAAGTTAACTGATCCTAACCAAATGAAAGCCACTCACAAGTGCACTCTGTTTGTCAGCGAGGGTATGGCGGGCCGTGTTATCAGAGTGCGTGCCAAAGGTCGAAAAACTAGAGACACAGATATCATAACTTCAATGCAAACGGTTCTTTACGAAAGATATAGAGAAGATGAAAATAAAGTTGTTGGTAATTAGTAATCTGATGTATACAGTTAAAAAAAGATATATAAAAACTATCACATAATTTTTTATGTCTCGAAGGTTTAGGTGGTGTTCTAAAAATGAAATACGGAAGTGTGGCATGTAACCTTATGTGGGACGATTATCAGGAGCCTATGTTACCATTTGATGATTTTATTAGAGGGCAGCAATGCTCCGAGATATATCTAGAGTCAGATATGATAGCCGTTGGCGCAATAATGAACGATAAGCCAGAACTATTGACTCAGGAACAGCGTTACGGTACTGTAAGTTATTTGTTCTGGTGCGGACACTAAAAATCATTGTTTTTGAAGTTATCATCTTATATTATTTACCATATATATTGTTTATTAATTAATTAAAATAATTACTATTGTCAATCTGCTTCTGTCAAATTTAAACCTGTAATTATTATATAAGTCGAGTTAAATAGTGGTATCTTTCTTAATTATTAAATCATTGAATGAAAGAGTTGCATCTAAATCCGAAAATTTAAACATACCGAAATATCGATATTCTTTGTCCGTTTTTCAGAATGTATACAATAGAAGTGAGTTCCATTGTTTCTCTAATTACGGAGCAGGAGGACAATTTATTAACGATACTACACCAGATATGACAGAATATGAAGGTTACTTTAACGTAGCGGAAAAGTATCAATATTGAATCCTGTATTGAATCTTTCAATACGCTAAATTTTTTATAACCATTTTAATATTGAACTAGGTTATTATGTACCCCCCCTTATATAGAACAAAAATTTATGTAATGTTATCTTAGCACATTATAGTGACGAGGATGTCATATCAGATTACAATACTTTATAAGCTTCCTTTGACGTATTTTTTAATTAATGAGGATGTAGAGTTGTTAATATTCGAGAAACATTCTAATAATTAAATTCTTTGAATTTTAAAAAATCTTAGAATCTTTTAGAATCTCTTGCTACGTTTCCTTGAAATGAAAATCGATAAAGTAACTAAATTCATAATTTATACATAGCATAAATTCATAATTTGGTTACTTTAATTAAACATAATTTAAATTCTAATATTCTTCGAAGTAGAATTCTGAAATAGATAATTACATGAAAAATGTTGTAATCAAAAGCAATAAGTATAAACATGAAAGAAAAATTCCATACATCATGTTTTATTATCTATATACTTATTTCGTAGTATTAAATATGAGATACTCGATTTTATTAAAGAGTTCTCAAATTGACAAATTACAGTTTATCGTAAAATTAATGACTCTTTAGTATTTGAGGTTTTCATATTTCTGAATTTTTTGGGGCATGACGGTAAATTCCAAAATTTTTAACAATTATCCTTTGTTACCAAAACTAAATTTAAAATTAACGGAATTCTTCATTCGCTAGAATTTTCTGGATCAAATTTGTATAAAAAATATGTTTCTTCGAAATTTTAACATATCTTTCAAAAATTTTTTAGCATTAACTAAATATTACATTAACAATTATAACTATTTAAATCAGATGTATTATAGTGATTTTAATTTATTTGTCTGTCAGCTTGTACTTTAAATTATCTACAATAATCAAACATTATTGGGGGAAACAATTTCTAAGCGTTACTTTCATCGTTAATTTTTATATTAACAATTTGGTAATAACGTTCTATTCTTTATGACTAAAAATGTTGATAACTAATTCATTGCTAAGGTTGTGCTAAAGTTAAGAAAGTCATTTTAAAAAGAAACTTATTTCCATTATACGTTATGATTACCGAAAAATATTTACTGATGAAACTAATAAATAATTTAAATAGTCGACAAATTTTTTTTAAAGTAACAAATAAAGGTAATTAATTACAAATAAAGTTATTTTTTTAATAATGGCTTACAACCCGTTGGAAGTAACATTTAATTTTTCCAATTTTCTTGTTATTATTACTGTCATAAAAAATTCGCAATATTATTACCAGTTGTTATTATAACTAAATAATAATAAAAGCTAAGATATCAATTTCTCATTAACTATTTCTCAATGTTATAACTGTAAAATGTAAATTTCACGTTCATATCAAATGTGATTCACACGAATTTGTCCAGTTATGTTTATTAATTTGAAATAAATTAAATTAAATCATTTTTTTATTTCTTGTTAACAAAATCCTTTATAAGATATACATACAGTTCGTATAACTACATACAACACATTCATAATCTTACAATGACTCGGACATTCATAATTTTCTAATAAATTTTGTTATGCATATTAAATATTTTGATGTTTTCAAAATATTAGACTTGCGCGCCAGCATAATTATAATATATAAATACGTACAATATATATATATATATATACAGAGAAGCCTGAAAGTTTGCCTTTTGTGTAGATAGCAAACTAAACTGAGTCGAATAGTCCTGTATCATTTTGCAATTTTCACAATTTAACAAGATATTAATTATTGCCAAATATTGTCTTAAACAATTTTTTATTCAAATACTACCAACTTTACAGAAAAACTAGGAAGACAAAGATCATTTATTTTCTCTCATAGAACACTAAGAATGTTTTCGGAATTTTTTATCAAATTTTAGTACTGCATTTTTTTATTTTTACCAACATGAAAACATACGGTATTAAAAAATTCTGAAAAAATTCTGAAAATATTCTAAAAAATTTTTTAGAACTTTATGAGAAGAAAATATATTATTTTTGTATCTTGCAGTTTTTTATAAAGTTGATAGTATTTTAATAAAAAATTATTCAAGACTAATATTTAGCAATTTTTAGTAATTAATATCTTGTAACTATTGCAAAAATTGCAAAATAGTAGAGGACATTTCGACTCAGATCAGTCCGCTCTATCATAAAAGTGATTGGCAAAAACTTTCGGGGCATCCTGTATATATACAATCAAAATAAAAAGTACAATATTAAAATAAAATTTTTATGAAAAAAACTTTGTTTGTAGAAAATATACATTCAACAATTAGTTGCTTTATACAATGAATACATTCTGTTCTGATATAAGCAAGCGAGTATTGCATGTATTTCTGATTTTAGAAGCTGATTTTCTTGACGAATAACTTTTGTGCGTCCAAGTAACGCCATTTTAAATTATCTCTAATTTAAAGGTAATATACATTATTTAATTACTACTCTTTTTAGTTCAACAATTTTTTGAAATGAACAATTTACTGTATTCTTTATAAATAAATAGATATCTAATAATTTAACACAAGAAAATGACCGTCAATTAGTCAATGAAAATGATTATGAAAATACTGCATTATATCTTTTACTAATATATAAATGTCGGATATATAACAATTCTAATTAAAAAATAAAAAAATTAAATGTCGATGGATATTTAATTTTATATTTATTAATGACAATTGTTTTTATCAATCCATTATTAATAATCATTAACAATAACGGAAATTGTTTACGTAAATCGCAATATCGACAGCTAACGAGTTATCTAGTTTCTATTGGTTGTGGTCAATTTAATTATCACAACAAATGCAAAATTAATTAATAAAAGATAAAAGATATTGTTATTTATGAAAAAGTATGAAATAAAAAATATGTATTTTGTTTAAATATTTACATTTTTCGTACGTATTTTCTCTGTATTTCCCATTTCTTTGCACAAATTTATCAAAATACTAAAGCATATAAAAAGATCTTTGCAATAAAGTATGTGTGTACTTAAGTACATGTCAAACAGACCATGTTTAGCTTAAGCTGGCAAAACACAATTTTTTCTGGCTGAATTGCTTCCCGGATTAAATTTTTGTCAAAACCATTGTATTCAATGCTAACATTGTCATAACTGCAACAAATATGGTGATAAGATTTTAATCCAGCTTAAAATCTAACAGAAACATAGGCATCCGTATTCACGTTGGGTATTAAACACGTTATACGTTTCCAATAAAAGAAATAAGGACTAAATTAATACATCAATTGTCAAATAAAAAATTTTTTCCAGTTAGAAAATTTATATATAGTTTAAATGCATTAATTAGCTCCATCATTACGATATTATATGTTGAAAATAAACATAGTAAGTAACAATAATGACTTAATAATAAAAAAACAGATTAATTTGTGTGTGTGTGTGTGTGTGTGTGTGTGTGTGCGCGCGCGCGTGTGTGCTTGTACAGAGAATCCAATGTTAATGCATCAATAACACAATAAAAAAATTATTTAAAAAACGTAGTACTTTTATTAAAAACTGCAGAATTATATTTTCAAAATATTGTTTTAAATATTTACGTACAATTTTTTTTTATCAAGTTACGCAACTTTAAAATTAATCCTGCAATACTTATAACCAACATCGAAACTCGTAAGAAAAATTCGTCAGAAAATTGATAAGAAAGCATATTATAGATAAAGCTTCATACCGTTTCTGTAAAATAATTAAAAATTTTAGAAAAAATTTTTTATCAAACTGCAGAATGTTGAATACACATAATTTTTAGAAACATAACATTTTTATTAAGATACAAAATTGAAAAGATAATCTATTTAAAAACAGCCAAAAATATCTCAATGTTTTGACACAGGTTTTTAAATTGCAACTCACAAATGACGTACTTGTCTATCCCAAAAACGGATCTCATTTGCGCTCAAGTACACCGTGTAAAATTTGTTTTTTTAATAATACAACTTATGTTGTGCTAAAAAAGAATTGTCCATTCGACTACATTCTTTTAAATTAATTTTATTTCTCTTAATAAAAAATGAATGTACTTAAGTCACAAAGAACATGTTTAGTTTAAATATATACATAGGCCAAATAAAAAAATAAAGACTAAATAAATAGTCAAATAAAAAGTTCGTTTTCAATGAAAGTTTATATACAACTCAAATGCAATAACTAATTCCAATTGTATGGTATTATACACAGAGACTTTTGCTGAATACAGAAAATTTAATATTGTTGGATTTTCAAAATTTTTATATGGAAAGTCAAAAGTAACGCAGCAAAAATGTCTAGCAATCAACTTGATTCTACAAAATGATTTTGATACATTAACAAATTTATTCTCAGATCTATATCTAGCTAAATTTCTAAATCTTTCAATAAAATCATTCTCTCCGTGTACATATTAAAAATAAACAAAATAAGCAATAATCTTAAATTAATAACAAAATATAGATTAATAATTAAACATATAGTATATTATTTTAATCTTTCAATTATGTCGCATTATATTATGAATACGCACAGCTCATTATAAATCGTCGAACTAATTGAAACTAATTTTTTTTTAAATAAACAATACATATCAAATTTCCATTAGATTGTGAATTTTCAAAACGTTAACGATTTCACGAAATTATGTTTATTTATTACTACTGAATCTTATGACCGCTATGATTCTATTTCTTAAACCAATGTTTTCTTGTTATATTTGAACAAATAGCGACAAAGTGTGCACCATACCGTTATATATATAGATCATATATGACGGCAAAGACATGTCTGTGACAGTGATGTAACAAAGAAATTAAATTCAACAATCAAGCTATATTTTTGCAACGTAATAAGTAAGTACATGACACAAATACTTGACATATAAGCACACATACACGGCATAATATCTTTATTATTTTAAATTAAACGACTACGAGACGAACAAAATTGTTTAAATAAGCGAAACATTTAACAATTTTAAAATAGTAAATATAATATAATAATGCATGTCAGCTCACAGAATTATTATTAACTCAAGACTAAATAAAATATATAAAAGAAATAAAAATATTATAGATTATAATTTTAAGTAAGGTTCAAAATAAATATAATTCATCTAGATAAATAAAAACTAAAGAAGTCAGGCTAGATCTCTTATGCTGATACTTAATAAAACGTTTTCTTTAATATTCCAAACTCGATCATTTCACTATAATCTTTTTCAGTGGTGTATGTAACTTTATAATTCAATAAATGACAGTAATAGTTAATATATGTTTTGTGTGTGTGTGCGCGCGCGCGCGCGCGTGGCGTGTGCGTGTGTGTGTGTGTGTGTGTGTGTCATTTATTTAATAATATTTAATCTATTCTTATGTATAAGAGACACATCTTGCATTTGTTTTATGGAAACCAACGTTTTAGCAATAATATCACGGCTCCTAGTTGCGAAAATAAAATAGCAAATTGTAATGTTATTAAAAAATAAACAGCCCGACATATAATGTATTTTTAAATTATAGTTAATGCACAGATACGAAATAATAAACCGTTTAAATTTTATTCAAAAATAGCAACTATGTACAATTAGTACCAACAGCTTACTAGTTAATTAACCAGTTCTTGAATATTAATGAGTTAAGACATTTCAGTTTTGTCCAAAAATGATACGTATAAAATTTACATAATATATTTTGATGCAGTATTTATAACAAATTATTGCAAATAAACTCACCATATACTATTGCTCAAAAGTTTGGAGTATTTCATAATTTCTAGATCAATCACGATCCTTTTTCCAATTATTATATTTAAAAAGTAAAATTTATTTTCATTTTTAACCGTATATTATTACAATAATTTAGAATACAGATAATATAAATTTTAGTATATTTACAATACAATGTTTAAGTTTTTCTTTCGAAATTTAAAAATGCACCAAACTTCTCAGCAATAACATATATATTATAAGTAACTATAATAAACTAGCAACCATCCCCCCAAATTTATTTTATTTCAAATAGCACGCATCAACAATTCTCTAACAACATCAACATTTCTCTAATTTAACATCAAATTTATTATTATAATACAATAATTTGTAAATAAATACGCGTAGCTTTCAGTAAAAATTTAATGGCTTTCCAGTTTTAATTTAGTATTATGGCTGAGAAACCAAATGGCGATTCCTACACAACTGAATTCCTTCCTTATGCAACAAATTCTTTGCACACACCGACTCTCTCAGAAATTGTACAAGGTATGTGTTTATACAATATTTATTATTTAATTCACCAAACACATCATATTTGATGCGTGTGTTACGTGATAATAGTTCTGCAAAATGGAATGCAACCCCTGTTTCAACAATTGAACGTCGACATAGCTAGCTGTCCTTGTCTAACTGCAGCACCATATAATCTTGCCGGAGTAGGTAAGAAATCACAACAAAGCGGCTAATTTTTCATTAAATGGAGTATCTTTAAAAAATGAATAATTCATACAGGATTAGGTGGCAACACGTCGGTACTAGAATTACTTTTTTACGACGAAAGTGTACCGTGGAATCGTAAAACACGAGATATTCGACAAATACTTACAGCCAGCCGTGATTCCTTTGTCATCGGATCTTCTTACGCTACAAAACCACGCATGCCTTATTACGGACATGTACGAATTATCAATATTTTCACAACTTATTGTATTGAGTTTCAATTATGCTTTTATCATATACACGATTCCTACGATATTATTAATGTTTTTCATAAACTTGATTACTGTTGTAGCTCATTATGAATGCAATATACAGAGCACCTATGGATCTTAGGAACGAGAGTCGCCTTATTTTCGCAGAGAGGCGTAACGGACGAACAACAATAAAAAAGTTAACTGATCCTAACCAAATGGTAGCCACCCACAAGGGCACTTTGTTTGTCAGCGAGGGTAGGGTGGGTCTTGTTATCAGAGTGCGTGCCAATGGTCGAAAAATTAGAGACACAGATATCATAACTTCAATGCAAACGGTTCTTTATGAAAGATATAGAAGGAATGAAAACAAAGTTGTTGGTAATTAGTAGTCTGGTATATAGTTAAAAAAGGATGTAGTTAAAAAAGAATGCAACAACAATCACATAAATTTTGATATCTTATCTCAAAGCTTTAGGTGGTGTTCTAAAAATAAAATACGGAAGTGTGGCGTGTAACCGTATGTGGGACGATTATCAGGAGCGTTTTATGTTACCATTTGACGATTTTATTAGAGGACAGCAATGCTCCGAGATACATCTAAATTCAGATATGGTAGCCGTTGGCGCAATAGTTAACGATAAGCCAGAACTATTGATTCAGGAACAGCGTTACGGTATTGTAAGTTATTTGTTCTGGTTTATGCGGACACTAAAAATCATTGTTCTTGAAGTTATCATCTTATATTATTTACCATATATATTGTTTATTAATTAATTAAAATAATTACTATTGTCAATCTGCTTCTGTCAAATTTAAACCTGTGATTATTATATAAGTCGAATTAAATAGTGTTATCTTTCTTAATTATTAAATCATTGAACGAAACAATTCCGTCTAAATCCGAAAATTTCAACATACCGAAGTATTGATATTCTTTAGTTGTCCGTTTTTCAGAATCTGTACAAGAGAAGTGAGTTCCATTGTTTTTCTAATTATGGAGCAGGAGGACAATTTATTAGCGATACTACACCGGACACGACGGAATATGAAGGTTACTTCAATGTAGCGGAAAAGATTCAATACACTTTATAATTTCAATACAGTAAATTTTTTATAACGACCATTTTAATATTGAAGTAGGTCATTATGTAGGTCATTACGTACTCTCATATAAAATAGAAATTTATGTAATGTTACCTATCACATTATTGTGAAGAGGATATCATATCGGATTACAATACTTTATAAGCCTCCTTCGACGTATTTTTTAATTAATGAGAATGTAGAGTTGTTAATATTCGAGAAATGTTCTAACAATTAATCCCTTTGAATTTTAAAATATAGAATTTTGCTACGTTTCCTTGAAATAAAAATCGATAAAGTAAGTAAATTCATAATTTATACATAGCATAAATTCATAATTTGGTTACTTTAATTAAACATAATTTAAATTCTAATATTCTTCGAAGTAGAATTCTGAAATAGATAATTACATGAAAAATGTTGTAATCAAAAGCAATAAGTATAAACATGAAAGAAAAATTCCATACATCATGTTTTATTATCTATATACTTATTTCGTAGTATTAAATATGAGATACTCGATTTTATTAAAGAGTTCTCAAATTGACAAATTACAGTTTATCGTAAAATTAATGACTCTTTAGTATTTGAGGTTTTCATATTTCTGAATTTTTTGGGGCATGACGGTAAATTCCAAAATTTTTAACAATTATCCTTTGTTACCAAAACTAAATTTAAAATTAACGGAATTCTTCATTCGCTAGAATTTTCTGGATCAAATTTGTATAAAAAATATGTTTCTTCGAAATTTTAATATCTTTCAAAAATTTTAATATCTTTCAATTTTAATATCTTTCAAAAATTTTTTAGCATTAACTAAATATTATATTAACAATTATAACTATTTAAATCAGATGTATTATAGTGATTTTAATTTATTTGTCTGTCAGCTTGTACTTTAAATTATCTACAATAATCAAACATTATTGAGGGAAACAATTTCTAAGCGTTACTTTCATCGTAGATTTTTATATTAACAATTTGGTAATAACGTTCCATTCTTTATGACTAAAAATATTGATAACTAACTCATTGCTAAGGTTGTGCTAGTTAAGAAAGTCATTATAAAAAGGAACTTGTTTCCATTACACGTTATGGTTACCGAAAAATATTTATTGATGAAACTAATAAGTAATTTAAATAACGCATCAACAAATTTTTTTTAAAAGTAATACATAAAGGTAATTAGTTATAAATAAAGTTATTTTTTTAATAATGACGTTACTTCTAACAGTTGACTTTCCCAACTTTCTTGTTACCATTACCGTCATAAAAAATTCGCAATATCATTACCAGTTGTTATTATAACTAAATAATGATAAAAGCTAAAATATCAATTTCTCGTTTACGATTCTTCTATGTTATAATTGTATAATGTAAATTTCACATTCATATCAAATGTGAATCACACGAATTTGTTCAGTTATATATGTATTAATTTGAAATAAATTAAATTAAATCATTTCTTATTTCTTGTTAACAAAATCTTTTATAAGAAGTACTCGTATATATACGAGGGTCGTTCGAAAAGTCCGTGCAAAGTCACTGCTGATGGCACTACTGGCGCGTATCAAGGTTAGATTTAGTTAGTAGCATCTCTTGGAGGAACACACACCAAGTTACAGCCAGATCGGTCTATTTGTTTGTGTTTGGCATTCATTTGAATCGAGGAAGTCGAGTGATTTTCAATAACGCACCAGCTCACACCTCAGCAGTTGTGGTCGCAAAATTAATGGAATTAGGGTTCCAACTCGTCTCACATCCCCCCTATTCTCCAGACTTGGCTCCCTCGGACTACTATTTGTTCCCCAATGTGAAGAAATGGCTGGCGGGAAAAAGATTTTATGGAAACGAGGACGTGATTGCAGAAACAAACCCCCCTCGACTTCTGGCTTTTCGATGTAATGTGATAAAACTACGATAACTTTTGGGGTAAGTTATACGCAACATGAAATTACTTCAGTTTTAGGATACAAATTAGTAGTTATAAACTAGCCAAAAGTTTCGTGCTTGCCGTGAGCTATAAATATCACAAAACGAAGCAAGAAGAACGACTGGTATACAATGTAATATAAGGAATACATCAAAGAATTATTTAGTTATTGCAAAGTTTTAATTAAGTCTGGAGAATACAGTAGTAAATAAATAATAAAATTTTATTTATTATTACAAAATTTTTATTATTTTCATAATTATTCATATAACTCTAAAAATTTCATTAAAATTTTCTGATATTTTAGTAAAAATTAAATAGGTTAATATATAATAATAAATTAAAAGTCTAGAGATATACATAAAAGATCATTTTATACGCTTCCTAAAGCTTTTAATTAATTTTATATATACCTGAAATATACTTTATAAACATAGATATACATTTTCATAAAATAAATGACAAATTTATTTGTTTAAGCGAGACAACAGTTTCTATTTCTCACAATAAATGCAATTTCTTTTCTTTCTGCTCCTTTTCTATTTACAGAATCATTTGTCTATTTCTAACTCTCGACTCCTTATCTAATAAACTCGTATATGTGATAAGATTACTAAAAGACATTTATGACAAGATATATCTCTCATTTCTTAACATATATAGAAATCTCTTCTGAAAATCATTCTCTCTTTCTCTCTCTGTATATATCATACTTTAATAATTATAATATATCTATTTGTTATTTAATATTATAATTATATAAGTATTTTAATATTTAACTTATTTTCTTTTCAAGCTTAGAAATAAAATTTTGTTGAATTAAAGAATGAACAAATAATATCTCGTTATATGTGATTTTCGCTCGTAAAATTTAATTATTAGAACACAACTCCAGAAATCATGAGCATCTCGATATTCTCACTGACAATAGTCAATAGCAAATTTCACGAGAAACTGCGCTACGTATCTACTTATTCGCCAATTCTGGCACGTTCGGTATACGAGACTATATAAAAAGACAGTCGCGTCCAGCAGGGAAAAGAAATCACCATTCGTCCGGTACAACCGAGGTGGAAGTATATTTGCTGTGGTATATGGAATCCAGTTTGAATTTCACGTGGCTGCTTTACAACACGCGTGACCGTAAAACGTCTGCGGAGAGAACTCGAACGTGTATACAAAGATCGCACGTACTAGGGATCTCAAGCGCGCGGAGCACGTTTTTCCATTTCTGTTTCTTTTGGTTCGCACCAACATCTGCAGTGTATTTGTGTCGGTATCCGTTTAAGTGGTACGTATCGACGTACCAACCCTCTTTGACGCAATCTAAAAAGAGTTTGAAAATTCTAGAGGCCAGACCGAAGGAATACTACGTACTTGCACGTGGTAAGACTTGCAAGACGTTTCTCTGGACCTCTATTTTCAAATATTCTTTTCATTCTGATATTAAATTGATTATTAAATAGCGATACACTACCAATCAAATATTAATACTCAATAAATAAAGCATAATTTTTATATAAACAAAAATAAATGGCAAAAATTAAAAAATTTAAAGCAGCTTCCCTAGATGCCTCTTAAATATTTTTACGTCCAAACTTTCCCGTATATCAAAAGAATCAATGCTTGTTTCATCTAAAAAAAAAATGCAAAACGTGTTATAAATACGATGAAGAAGTAGAATATTACAGGAATAGAATTTACGTTCGCATGATCGATACTTCAAAACTTTTCAAGTTCTTGGCATTCCCCTTTGCAGTTTCACTCGCCTGTTGGCACCCGCGGAATTTATCACCTTCCTTTCGTCCACCCTCTGAACTTCTTGAACCTCAATCCGAGATACAAATGGGAAAATAAGAATCTCTTCGAAAGGAGAAATCAGAGAAGAAAGAAACTAATAGAACTTCTATTATTTTCCATTAATTAATTAAATAAAATCCCGAGTATGTTATCTGTCATAATCGTTTCATTACCTAATGAATAGTGTCATACTGTAGAATGCTATTAAACTAATTAGATTAATACCATTCTCAAGTTACTAATTAATTTGAAATTAAATTAGAAATTAATATGTAGCTTTTCGTTTTTTACTAAATAGGTCATCGACTATACTAATTATCTGCTACGTTTTCTCAAATCCAACATGGACTCTTAATCGTCCTTTTGATAACTTACACATAAATCATCTACTAAAAAATTCTCTCTGCAGTAAAATATTATCGTGACAGTGAAACGCTCCAATATTGAAACAAATTAAAATGCGTTTAAGTGGATAAAAAAATATTCTTTCGCGTCTTTCAGAGAATTAAAAATATTTTACCGAGTGAAATGTCAGAGCAAATATAATTTTAATCAATATGTTAAAATAGAAAATATACGATATAGAAATATAAACATATGTACACAGAGAGAATTTTTTCTTAGAATTTATCTTAAAAATATAACAGTCGTAAGACAACATTGTATTTCTAAGAATTTTAATGTAAATCTCTCTCTCTCTCTCTCTCTCTCTCTCTCTCTCTCATTCATTAATAAAACTATAATTATAAAGTATAAAATAGGTTTGATCAAATTTACTGAAGTGGATAATAAAAATCTTTAAAATATTGTATTGTATCACAATTATCACATTTTGAAAGTAAATTTAAGAAAAAAATTCTCTCCGTGTATATACACATATATACTAATATTCTAAAACTACTAATTAAAACACATCTGGCTTGCAAAACTTAATTATTATAACTGGGCAGTTTATCTTGGCGATTCTTGCTTAAATATCAGCTTTTACCTCTTTGATTTAAGGTCATCCTTTTAGATGATATATTTTTATGATAATATCCAACGATAAATTCTTACCTTAACAGCTATTACAACGGATACCAGGGACGCAAACGCGCAACACTTAAATCATACTGGTGCATTAGGAAGATATTTAATCATTAAAATATCGTATAGAGAGTTGCAGGTGTGGTAAACGGCATTAATGCAATTGACTCACGTAATGCGCGTTCGTAGAATACATAAGTAGAAATCTGTACAAGTAGAAATATGCTCTGCTAAAATCTCGAATATCGTT